GGCAATATTCACCCAACTCATTCCACATTGTTATACTTAGATAGTTAGTGACCTTCATTAGAAGCCTTGTTTATCCCGCAAAGTCACTCCAAATTTGTCAAATATTCGATTATTTCCAAATTGAAGCCACTTCGGAACTTTGACTTCTTGATTACGGCAGGAACCATGTCTGCAAACAGTGATGTGATGCGTAACCGTATAAGACCAAAATTTGGCAAATTTTAATAATCCTATTTCCAACACTTCAAACAAAGAGAGTTAAACACAATAATTGCAGAAATAAGAATAGTAATAATAACAATAATCCGATTACATTGATATTAGAAGGTAAATGGCAGTGACAGGTGGGAGAAGGGGCATTCATAGAGTTAAAATCTAGGGTCTGAAGAGGATTGGGAGGCAAGCACACCGGGAAAAGAGTTGCAGTAATTAAAAAAAGGGGAGAGACAGGGGGAGATAAGAGTTCGCGCGAGTTGGTTGCCGCGATCGTTTTCTCTCAACGGGGATGGCAAAGAGTGACAGAGTCAGCACCTTTGAGTGGCACTGGGGTCTGCTCGTAATGAGAGATCATGTGAGGAATGCTCGGATAGGGTTGACCGTATTCCCCCAACACAAACTGGCCTTGAGAATCTCGGGTAATTCTCATGTGTAGGTAACCATTGTGTCTATTTAAAGACGAGAAAAGGACACAAAACGGTTTAAGTCTAATGAAAAGAACCAAGAAAACAACTGATACTGTTCTTCGTTATATTATATAGGTTACTAGACTTCATCTTTCCTCGTAAGGGGTGTGTGATAGACTTACCTCCACGTGGTATACCCTGGGCAACGTATACTCATACGGCAAAAGAGTCTATTAACCGACAGTTGACTTCTGACTTCTAACTACCATCTCCCCACTGTACGTCATATTCCACCATTTCAGCAGATCTCGCCTTACCTTTTACTCAACCTTTGTGCCTGTCTGTCTCTTTTACATCTGTGAATCATTATTCTATCCGACCCTGTCGACTTTTTGTCACTTCGATATTTCCCCTCCTCCTCTGTGAAGCCTGAAGTCAGCTAAAGGGCTAATGATAGGTGAATCGCTCTTCTTTCCTCCCTATCATTTCTTCGCACTTTAATGCTCCTACCTTCTGTGAAGCCCGAAGTCAGCTAAATGGCTAATGATAGCTGTCCTGTGAAGCCCGAAGTCAACTAAAGGGCTAATGATAACTACCGTGAAGCCTGAAGTCAGCTAAAGGGCTAATGATAACTATCCAAATGCCTGCCATTTGAAATAAATAAATCTTTCCACCTGCTGATATTGCAAATTAGCATTATTGTGCCAAATGAATTAAGGTATCACTTTTAGCATTAATATCACAAATACGATTCGATTTAAATCATTAGTTCGGTTACCAAAACTTTAATACTTTAAGTCTTGGTGGCAGAAATTAAATAAAAATATATTGCGGATCTACTTAGACTTGCATAAGTAGCATATTAAGTTAAATGAGATTAAAACTCACTTGACCGTAAGGGAATATTCATTCTTGTTAGTTTCGCTGTTTCGCACGAGGAAACTGCCTTCGGGTTCCAATCGGAGTCTCTTTACGGCACCAGCTCGTGTTAAATTTGGATGAAACCAACTATAGATAAGGCAAGAAGACGATGTTACTCACTTTATATCAATGACCAAGAAGGAGTTAACACATTTGCGTGCACCTATTCTGATCCGATACATGTGGTACAAATTCAATCCACATTTCGCACCTAGTTTCAATCTATTTGCGAGGAGCATAGCTTAGTAAGGCTTATCTACACTCTACTGTCATTTAGTAAAATGCGTGTGCATACTTACGGCTGTTCATTAAGGGGCCTCAGGTTCTGCACTTGCGCGAACTTTACATTTGAGGGACTGCGGGCAAGGGGTGATTGGCAGGAAACTGGTGGGGAAATTCCCAAAGCCGGAGGAATAACAACTCCATTTCCACTCACTTGACCTTCGCCTAATCCCGAGTGGCCATTTGCATACAAATTGCCACCATTGACGCTAGCGCCATTATGGTTCCCATTGGCAACAGCCGAGAGTACTTCGGATGGATCAATAAATCTAGAACTGGTCAGCTGAGAGATAACCTTTCTGTGACGTACATCCCA